CGAAAAAAAAAAAAAAAATTGATACTTTCGATTAGTTTGTTCAACGGCAAATAGTACATCGAAATCGAATTTTACTTTCTAATTCTACACGATGCAAATTATTGCGAATTACAATGATCCGCTTAAAAATTTTCTTTTACTTACAACTACTTGGAAGAGTTTTTAAGCTACTCTTCTTATTAATGTGACGAAAAAAAAGATTGTTCAATCATACAAAAATTGAGAACCAAAAAACAAAAATTTCATATCCTCAAACGATGTGGATGACATGACTCGAGTAACTCTTTGGCCTTCGACGACTACAATTATTAGGCGCAATGAAAATTCACGTAACGTACCTCGCACGAAAAACTGGAAGAGAAAAATCGCTCTTCAAAAAAAAAGAAAAAAAAAAAAAAAAAAAAAAACAACAACAATCAGGAGGTACGACTGTTACATTGAAAAAAAAAAAAAATCTTGTATCATGCGCAAATATTTATCACCACAGCAACGACGTGAGAATACTGAATCGTAATAATGCCTTCGCACTCGAGGTCGATCGACTACTGACCCTCATGCCAGAGTCCTCTGATCGCAAGGTGCGTGTTAAACTCGTCGAAGCTCAGAAAGGACAGGTCGCACCTCGTGCACTTCATCATGTTCAAGGGGTCGTGGCACGAGAGGTGCATCTCCAGCATCTGCGGACTAGTGTACGTGGCCAGGCAGCCCCATTGTCGAAGCTTACAGCTGTAATCGGCTGAAACTCTCGGCTGCGGCGTAAAAATTTTGTCGTCGACCGGTGCGATGTCGTGCCTCACGGGTGTGCCCTTACGTTTTTTCGAATTGGCGCTCTTCGAGGGCAAAGACCTGCTGCTGAGGTCCAAGACTGCACTCTCGCCGGAGATATCCATTTCTGCGTTATCGACAGAGTCATCAGTAGACGGCTCATCCGCTGATGGTACGGCAACCGATAAATCTATCGGTCGGTCCGTGAGAGGAGTAGCCTCCGCGCGACTGGCCGTTGGGTCGTCGTCGTTATTGACCGAGTCGTCGTTCGAACAAGCCGACTCCGACAGGAAAGCACTCACGTTCATGTCGAGGTGGTGCTGGGGCTGCTGCTGGTGATACATTCCTCTAAGGATCTCTGCTTGCTGCATCGCGTTCAATATCATCATCTCCTTGATGTATTTGTTAATGCTGGGTCCGAGGAACTGGCTCTTGGGGTCGGTCAAACCGGCTTGAGCAAAGTCAGCCGGGCCGGCTGGCTCCGAGGATTCCACCGGTAGACTAGCGAACGCTGCCAACTGAAGATCAGCGCTGTTGCTGCTGTTGTTGTTGTTGTTGTTGTTATTGTAGTTATTGTTATTGTTATTATTGTTGTTGTTGTTATTGACGCTCTTGAGCTTGGGCCTCGGCCCACGTTTCTTGCTGTGCACGTCGATGCGTATGTTCTCGTTCCTCGTGCCATCGCTGTCGTAGATTAATCCCTGCTCGTGGCACATGCTCCTCAAATGGTCCTTGTAGGCATGCAGGTACTTTGACTTGAACGCGCACGTGCCGCAATTGAACTGATGCACGTCCGAATGAGACTTGAGGTGGCTCGTGAGCATGCTCTTGTTGACGCACCGGTAGTCGCAGTGCTTGCACGCGAACCGCTTCTCACCCCTGTGGTTGTCCTCGTGAAACTTGAAGTGGTGCGGCAGGGTCGTTACAAAGTAGCAGCGCCCGCACTTGTGTAATTTTTTCGGATCGAGATGGGCGTGCTCGAGATGCCTCCAGTAGGCCGATTTCGTGATGAAGAACATCTTGCAGTCTTTGCAACGCGTCACCGACACTTGGCCCTTCGAGTTGAAGTTTGGCGTTAGCGCGTCCACCCGTGACAAGTCTATTCCGGTCTCCGCGAGCCCCAACTCGTTCAGCTTCGACTCCAAATCCCTCCAGTCTTCGTTGCTCATCTCTTCCTCGTTGCTGGGCTCGACGCTGCTGTCGTCCACCTTCTTCTTGCGCTTTTTCTTGCCAACCTCGTCGAGCTTGATCTTGGTGTAAAAAGCGGCGAACCTGTACTCGTCAGCCGATATCGCCTCGTTGTGATTCATTATGTGGGTGACGATCAAGTCTCTGTAAACAAAGGAAAGTTAAAAATTAAAAATTACAAAAAAATAATAATAATAATAATACGGACGCGTCGGAGAAAATCACATCTTATAGGTATGAAATACGTACTTTTGCGTCAAGATCGGTGCATCGGCGCAAGAAGGAAGGGGACACTTGAACGGTCGAGCTACGTGGTCTTCCGGCACGCAAGTAGTCTGTCGCTGGCTCTTACGCTTCTTTTGGGACTTTGGCGAGGGCTTGTCCATGTTATCGGGAGGCGCGACGAACTGCTGGTGCTGCAGGGCGTTGGGATAGGCCAGTACCGGCGATGTCATATCCGCAAAGCCGTAGGCCGGGTTGCAAGTTAACTGATCATTCCCAAAGTTATGGTGGTGAAGGTAGTCAAAGGAATTGACGGCCGGTGGTGACGCGGCCATGCTGCTCGCGCCCGAGGACGGACGGCTGTCCACTAAGCTCTGGGCTCCCTGATGAGACGATGGCCGACTGCCGTTGAGCGACGGGTTGGACTCACTCGTCCCGTAGTGGCTTGGCGACACTCCGGAGTCGTCGGTAGTCTCCTCCATGGGTTCTTGTTTCTAAAGATAATCCAGTGAAACGATTAGTTTTAGTCTTTTTTTTTTATGGGAGAAATCGGTTCGTATCGGGGACTAACGGCTTGTCGCGGTTTTATCAAGGAATGCCCCAGGTTTTGTAAAAAATTTGCAAAATTCAACTTTGTCGTTTACAGTTACCAAGATTTAGTCGATTTTCCGTTTGAATAATGGAGTTGATCGGTATTTCATCGACACGTCTTCGCGTGAAATGTCAAATAGCGTAGGCTTTAATTTCTCGATTGGCAAAAAAGTGGGAACAAAAATTTTGGTGCCAACTACAGAAAATCGCGAAACAACGGAACACGTATAAGTGCATGAAATTCGTAAACATCGTAGTTGCCCCGAAACAAAACAAAAGGAAGAATATACCGATCGATTGGCCCGGCTGTTTTTTCCCCTGCGAGAAAAGCGCAAGTTATTTTCATCACGCCCGAGCGCTAAAGTCCTTACATACATACGCAGCCAATCCTCGGTAGGAACGCCAGAGTGGCGTATAATTTTAGGACTCGTGAAAATGAGATTGAGCCCGAGCATTATATCTTTGGGTAAGTGCGTATATATGCGTATAAGCATCATAACAGAGAGAGAAAGAAAAAACTTCCTGCCCGACCAATCGTAAAGTACGCGTATACGTGGGGAGATTAGGGTGGGAGGAAGGGAAAACACTCCCCCTACCATGTGCGTGGATTCTATTCGTCCGCGAAGGGGATGATGATAGGTAGGTAAATATATATATATATATATATATATATATATATATATATATGCGCGAGAGAGCTGCAAGGGAGCGAGGGTGAGGCTTCGCGACTGGAAGGGATGAGGTGATTCTGTTGTATAATCTTAAACGTTATGTATATATGTAGATTATGATCGCTTACCACGTGCAGAAGGTGCTGTGGATATTGAGTCCAATCTTTGGACCCATTGTCCATTGCTTTTGGAAGAATTGTCACTTGGCTGCGTTGTTCGATGCACCTAGAACATCAAAAATTTCAATGTTAATCTTTTGCGTACAGTTATGTCATACGTATGCGATTATCCCTATAAGTCATATATTATGTTGTTGGATATATTTTACTCCGGTTGATGAATCACATTCTGAAGGTTTACTATTATTACCACAATTATACTACTACTAAATGGTTATATAATGGCTCGATACTACCGCGATAAGAAGTCATTAAGATTTTTCAAACTTCTTATCGTATGAAATCTATTACGTGTTAAAGATGGGTGATAAAAACATTTTACTCATATTTGAGTAATTTTATGGTTAATACAGTGCAAAGTTTCGCTGAAGCTACCTATTCCTGATGGATTAATAATGGCCAACTTTGTAAATAAATTCATGTGCAAAAACACAAAGCTCCAACTGCATTTTCGAGTATTATGTTCAGAGATTATTATTTATTAATTTTTAAATCGATAATTATGACAAGGTCACACTCTAACTATGCTTATGTAATGAAATCCAATGTCAAGGCTGACTAATGTGATCGTAGAATTTTACAACCAATTAACCATAAAATACATTCGAACGATGTTTACACAATACTAATAGAAGATCAAAAAATTTAAGATAAATGAAATTCTGATATTATGACAAGTAGGTGATGTTTCATTTCCAAGAGAAAAAAAATTCAAAGTGGATGTCGAAAATTCGAGCATAACAGATATAGCGGTAAAAAATACACTTCGCGTTCGCTCGCACCACCTATTTCGTCAAACGGAGTCGGTAAATAAATTTATTTATAGAAAAAGCGGTTTGGAAATCCTTCATTTTTGCGGTAACAACACTTTTGTATCGTGTACAATATTAACCATCGGTGGAACAACATTTGATTTCGTGGAAAATCCAGAACCACACAAGAACTATACGCGAACAAATAAATCGAAGAAAATTCCATAACACGAGAATTTAAAGTAAAAAAAAGCAGGCTGGAAAAAAAATCAATCCCGACAGACCCAAAAAAAAAGAAAAGAAAAAAAAAAAGAATTCCATCTTTCAAAAAAAAAAAAGAAAAGAAAACCTGTCAAACGCAGGTGATGCCCAGCACTGTCTCCGTGGTATGGAAAAAAGGCCCACGAGCACAAAGAGCCCGAAAAAAGGGGGGACTAAAAAAAAAAAATCCGTCCGCAAAAAAAAAACGTCCTTTCACACTCGGGGGCCCCTACATCCGCCCACGTCAACGCGGAAAAGAAGAAAAATCGGAGCAGAAGATGCAGGAGGGGGGGAGGATGCGCATACGATTGGTGAAAGGGGCGCGAGGTTACGGGCTTCTTCCTTTTTTGCCGCAGAGATCGTTGTTTCCTGGAAAAAGGGGTTTTCCGCGCTCTCCCGTCCATACTTTTCTTTACCTAAAGCCGCACCGTGACGAAGGAATGAGGGGGAAAATCGAGCCGCTGTTTTTTCCTCTCCGCTTTCATTTGCATATACACACGCAAACAGCCTGCCAGGTTTGCTTACATACACACGGGGGGGTTTTTAGCCATTCAAATGGGCTGAATAGCTAGGGAGAACTGAGGAGCAACAGAAACAACTGATGAGGGAAAAAATGAGTTGGAGGTACGGTCGACTGCTGATACCGAGTTTTTCAAGAACTATCGAGAAAACCTCTTTTGCCTCGAGTGAAAATTTTCCAAGGGTGTTTTTCTTCCGATTTGTCGCGGCTGCGCGAATTGTGTGCGAAAAATCGAATAAACACGTGGTTCGCGGTGTCATTGCTACCTCACGTTAATACGTAAGTGTGTAGCGAACGAATTAGGTGTGAGAACGAAAGAAAAAAAAGAGAATAAATAAGTAAAAGAAAAGCGTACCGGAGAAAGCGAAGAAACAACAGAAGCTAAGAAATACACGTGTTTATCGTAAACAGAGTTGGTGTACATGACGAAAAAAAAAAAAAAAAAAAAGTTAAAATTTATCATGACTCTCTTTAAAGTCTTGATAAAAAGCTGAAAATTCGAGGGCCTCACGCATGTTTTCGCGGCTTTCTAATACTTTTTCCATTTCCTAAATGTCATTGACACTTCGAAGCCTACAATGAATCATAATATTAGAGATACTAAGGGTATTGAACTCTTGCGCGGACACATTTTCTAAACGAAAGAGAAAAAACTGCAGCTAATCGATCGTCGAAATCAATGGCGAAAGTGAACCATCCATGCATCGGCCGCGGCCAACGCTGCTTAACTTTGCCGATCGACCAAGCAAAATCTACGTATTATCGTATCGGTATAAGTAGATGATGTATGGAGGATTAAATAACCAACGCACTTAGTCGCGAGACCCGAAACAATAGTACGAAGTACTTACTCTACTGAAGATAAAAAAAACAACGTGCATAAACGGGCGAGCGCACGCGTGCATAATCTGCGCCTGTAAATCGCTCGCATATTTTCGTCGGTCATACGCATGCGGTGTTTTTGATCTTAAATTAGATGTAAAGAAAAAAATAAAATAAAAATTAAATCAACTCACCGGCTGTGCAGTTCAGGAGCTCCAGCCGCGCACACACTGAGCGCAACAAAACAAGTGTCCACTCTCTAAAAGGGCACCAAGTTTTTGTTTTTTATCACTTAAAAGTTCCTCGCACTGTTGCACTACTGTATATACTTGCGTATAATATACCAGTGTTGTCGATGAAAAAAAAAAAAAAACAAAAACAAAAAAAGCAAGTTGAAAAAAAATCGGCACGCAAGCAGATTTAGCCAAACAAGCAGAGGCCGGTCGTCGCTCGATGACCGTCGAGAGTCAACTGATGCGATGATGCGTATACGCTACGATGCTATAGCCTCAAGAGCTAATAGAACGTATTGTATACACGCACTGGCATCTAAGATGCTATACACACATATACAGTTCGCCCGTGCGGGTCGAAGCGGTACTAATGTACATGTGTATATGTGCGTGTACTAAATACGAGATAAACCACCAGCCTGTGTCCAATGCGCATAGCACGGGGGTAGGGCTACGCACAATATGTATGCGGACGCAGTGGAGGGGGTATGTGCGCACGGAGGACCATTTCCCTCTTTTACCTCTTGGCCGATTGGCCTATATATATATATATAGGCTCAGGTGTAGGTGTAGGTACGGTAAACGTAGAGTACACACCTATACGTATTGGAAGGGCGAGAGGATCGAACGATTGAAGAAAAGGGGCGGGGGGAGAGCGAGCCGAGGAAAACGAATAACTCTTGATTTGGCGATTTTTACTGAAATGCTCGAGGAGAAATATGATGTGGCACATCCAACTGGGGGCAAAAACAAATGATCCTCGGACTGTATACTTACTCAGCAAAGTCACTCGAGCATTTTTGAAAATCGCTACAATGATTTTGGCTCCACGTGGAAAGCAAATCTTTTTGGCGTCGTTACTTTGTTCTTCCTCGACTTTTTTTGTCAGTTAAAAAAAAAATGTGCCGAAAAACTGATCTAGAAGAGACCACGTGGCAAAGAGCCGGATATTAGACAACGTTGTTTTACCATTTATATTGTTTATTTTTGTTCGAATGTTGTATCGGGCAATTCTATTAAAAGCTCGGAAACGTCCAACTTTGCTGCCATCACTGCTGCTTTACTTACCGCTTACAACATTATTATCTTTTGTGTTTTGATGATCGATTGTTACCATTCCGGGAAATTAAAATTTTGCTCGAGTTTGGTCAATGTGTGTAAAAACACAATGATATAGCAAGGATTCCACAGTCTTTTGACCGTAAAGTACATTTCGCACTGTTGTCACGATTTTCTCGCAACTTGTTTTTCCATTTTATTGACATTTTCAATGTGTTTTTCATTTTCCAGGAAACTTTATGCGAAAAAAAAAATAAAAAAACGTCTTACCAAATTTTTCTTATTTTTTCATTTGTGTTAACTTATAGAAAAAAAAACCTTCGGTAAGCCTCTTACGTATAGCTGATGGTCAAGTCTCCCGAGTACAACACCTCATTCCCCTTAAAATCTACGTTTAAAAATAAAACCATTTACTTACCCATCTCCATTTACATTAATTGAGACACATACATCCAAGTGAAATACGCTTTTGTCTCTCTCTCTCTCTCTCTCTCTCTCTCTCTCTCTCTCTTGTTCAAACCCTCTGCATTTAAAAAAAAATCATCCCAGCCTGGCATGACTCCCTAAACGCGCTTCCACGAAAAATCCAACCCCAAGGAGGACTATTACGTATGGCTGCGCGCACCGTGTCTTACTCTCAAGCCGTTGTTATCCCGTGATTTCCCGAGCACTTTTTTTTTTCTCCATCTCCTCGGTGCTTTGAAAATAGTCGGGCAAGTAAAACCCCCCTTTAAACGCTCGTTTTTCTCTCAATGGGTTAGAAAAGGAGGGGGAGGAGGAGGAGACACGTGCCGACTTATTTCGAGAGTAAAAAAAGCGCCGACGTATACATAGGTACCACGTCCCCATTCATCTCTCGCTCTCCCGGTCTTTTGATCAGCTGCTGATGCCAGCGCTACTTTTTTTTTCTTTTTTTCTTTCAACCGCGTCCAGAAAGAGCCGCTGCGTGTCTTTTTATCGAGCATTGGCTTATTGTTTCAAGAGTGCCAGGTAAATTAGGCGCTGATTTGTCTATTTTGAACTTTCGGGAAAACGTGTGAACAAGCTTGCGTGAGTTTTGCGTTTTGTACTCCCATAAATATGTACCAGAGTTTTTCGCGGAACAGTGTTTTGGAAGCAAATGCTATTGCTATTGTTGTCATTGTTGTTGTTTTTATGAAATTTTGGTTTTTGCTCGTTTCAAGGGATCAGTCGTTGTATATAACAAATGAATAACATACGTATAGGTTGTCGTCAAAAACAAAATGAATCTCCCTCGGCCGAAAGTACAAAAATGGAGACCATCCGCAGATTTCCACGCGTCGCCGACATCCATTCCATTTTGTGTCCGATCGTCGCTGAGGGGGAGGGGGGAGATAAAAAAAACGG